TCCTGGGCTTAAGCAATTCTCTTGCCTCAGACTCCCGAGTAGCTGGGACTACAGGCTCCCGCCACAACACCCGGCTATTTTTTGGTTGCAGTTCAGCCGGCGCCAGGTTTGAACCCACCACCTTCGGTATATGGGGCTGGCGCCCTACTCACTGAGCCACAGGCACTGCCAGGATTTGATTGTTAAAAAGAGCCTGGCACCCCCTCCCACACTAGCCATGTGACACACCTGTTTGCTCTTTGACTTCCACCATGATCAGAAGCTTCCTAAGGTCCTTACCAGAAACAGATGCTGATGCCATGGTTCCTGTATAGAAGCTTATAGAACTGTGAACCAAATAAAATTCTGTTCTTTGTATATTACCCAGCCACAGCCAAGCACGGTACCTCATGCCTATAATCCCAAAACTTTGTGAAGCCTCTGTGGATCACCTGAGGCCAGGAGTCTGAGACAGCCTAAGGAATATAGCAAGACATCATCTCTATAAGAAAATAGAAAAATCAATTGGATGTAATTGTGTGTGCCTGTAGTTGCAGCTGCCTGGGAGAACTGCTTGAGCCCAGGAGTTTATAGTGACCTATGACGATGCCACTGCTCTCCTGCTCAGGTAACAGGTGAGATCCTGTCTCTAAAAAAAAAAAAGCTTCATGTATTCTTTTCCAGCAACACAAAGGAACTATAACAGAGGGGCCCCAGAAGAAGAAAACAAAGATAACAAGATAAAGGAAATTACGGAAGAAATTAATGAAGAAAATTTCCCAAAACTAAGATAGTATATGAATCTCTAATTGTCAGAATCTAATGACCATCAAGGCCATTAAAAGACCCATACTGGTGGGTCACACCTGTAATCCTAGCACTTTGGGAGGCCAACGTGAGTGGACTGCTTGAGCTCAGGAGTTCAGAGACAAGCCTGACCAAAAAAGAGACCGCCATCTCTACTAATAACAGAAAAATAGCCAACCATGGTGGCAAACACCTATAGTCCCAGCTACTCAGGAGGCTATGGCAAGAATGTTGCTTGAGCCCAGGAGTTTGTGATTGCTCTGAGTCTCTGTCTCCAAAAAAAAAAAAAAAAGACCCACACTTCAGTACATTCAAGTTTCAAAAATTCCCGTGCAAAAAAACTCACTCACCTAAAAAGAAAAGAGAATTAGACAAAGATCAAACTTCTCATCAATGCTATAGGTCTAACGCCAGCAAAGTAGCATCATCAAACATAAAGAAAAGTTACTTTGGGTTAGACTTCTACATGGAGTCAAATGATAACTAAAATGAGAGAGACTAAGCTTATATTTAGATATGAATAAATTACCCCTCTTTTGCATTCTTTCTTGGGAAAATACTTGAAGACAGTCCCCCTAAAATGAGTGAGAAAGAAAAATATATAGCCTACACAAAATAGTGAATCCAATCCTAGAGATGGGGTGAAAGTAAGTCCCAGAATAAAAACAGACAGATTCAGACTGGAACAGGAGGATAGAGGGAGGCCAGCAGAAAAATTCTATGCATGTTATGTTTCAAAATATAGAAAAATGTGAAGATATGATAAAGGAATATTATCCTTTTGTGAATTAGGGGTGGGAGTGGGGTGAGAGAAGAGACAGTTAAAAATTCTAGGACAAAAAAAAAAAAAATACAAAAAGGCACTGTCCAAAAAGACACAAACAAAAAAAGGGACTGACTCTAAGAACTTGATGAAATGTAAGAAAAACTATGAAGTTAGAAAATTTTCTCCCTTCAAATAGCCAAGGGGTTGTGATATTGGATCCAGTATGACGACTTAACTCTGCAAGAAACAACATTTACATAGGTATAACAAATAACTGTTTACTAGATTTCAATTTTGAGAGACATCTATGGACACTCAAGATCTGGTTGTAGAACAATGATCTCTAACAGTCTTGTTAATGTAAAAGTAAAACATGTAGTGGACAAAAGGTATGTGGTAGATGGTGGGCCTGGGAGCTAAAGGTTTCATGGGGGTAGTTTGCAGGTGGGGAGAGCACACCAGACAACCTTAGGAAGTGTGTAGGGCCAACACACAAAATTCCAGAACTTAGTATTTTCTTACCCCTTCATCTATACTGGGCTGAAAAATCCAGGAATTTTCCACCAGTATGTACATATTAAATTCTGATATACATCTTCTGATAAAGTTTAAAAATTTTCTATTCCAGTCCACACATGTAATCTAAGAGTTGGTAAAGTTCTTCTATAGAGGTCTAGAATAGATAGTATATATCTTCAGCTTTGTGGGCCAAATGGTCTCAAATTTTGTTGACATCCTAGAGGGCAGATCCTAGAGGATGCCACCATCAGCAAACTTTTCCACTATCTTATGGGTTATAGCGACACTTTTGCCAACAACATCTGAATCTTTAGCTGGGGGGTTAGGAGAGTCTATTCCACACTTGTTCCTTCCTGGAGTATTCTGCCTCATTCTTAGAATTCATGATTACTCCCTATAGTTTCCACTCCTGTATATGTTGAAGAGTTCTTTACCTTAGTGTTTGCCCTGAGTAGTTAATTCTGTTCCAGGTTAATAATGTTTCTATCAGGCTGGGTGTGGCCTAGCACTCTAGGAGGCTGAGGCAGGTGGATTGCCTTGAGCTCAGGAGTTCAAGACCAGCCCGCACAAGAGCAAGAACCTGTCTCTACCAAAAATAGAAAAACTAGCTGGGCATTGTGGCAGGCACCTGAGTCCCAGCTACTTGGGAGGGTGAGGCAAGAGGATCCCTTGAATCCAAGAATTTGAGGTTGCTATATGCTGTGAAGCCATGGCTGTCTAGCATGGGGGAAGTGAAAGACACTGTCTCAAAAAAAAAAAAAAGTTTATATTACGTTTCCCCTGTTCAAATTACTGTGCAGTTTCTCCCTTTCAAATAGGCCCTGACATATATTTAAATAATTACATTAAATATAAGTGGTCTAAATACTAGTTAAAAGGGCAAGATTGTCCCACTGGATAAAAAAAAAAGCAAGACCCAGATGTATGCTGTTAACATGCGTGACACTTACTTTAAATACAAAGATAGATAAAAAGCTAAAAGATGGAAAAAGACATACCACTCAAACACTTAGCTAAAGGAATTTTGTAATGACAAAGGGAGATACAATATTTACTAAATTCTTAAAGGCTAGCCACTATGCATTTTGTCTCCAATTATATAGGAGCTTATAAGGCTATTCAGCGTAGAATACAGACAAGAACTCAGAATTGAGCTCTTAAAAAGTATGCTACACTGACTCTTCACAGTAGGGGTCAATTTTGATAAGTAAATACAAACATTCACACATAAAACTGTATAAAAGTTTTTTTAACCCAAACTATTAACAGTTTTTATCTATGATACCTGGGACTACAGGCGCCCGCCTAATGCCCGGCTATTTTTTGTTGCAGTTTGGCCGGGGCCAGGCTCGAACCCGCCACCCTTGGTATATGGGGCTGGCACTCCTTGAGCCACAGGCGCCGTCCAGTTTTTATCTATGATACTTTTTTTAACAATAAACATGTAACACCTGTGTAGCAAAAAATTTTGAATAAATCATTTTTTAAAGTTTCATTTAAAAAATTACTACTGTGACCCAATCAAGGACCTTTAAAAACAAAAACAGACCAAATTGTGTATGCGAAAATATATTATATTCATAAACTACATTCTTGATCACAAGCAAATACTCCATTTTTCAACTCTTCCAAAAGAAGGTTAACGAGCTGCAGTTCCGCCTTACAATACATACACTGGGTGAACGACTTCACCTCCTAGGGACTTTGAAAGACTTTGTTTCTAGTTAGGAACAAATGTCCTCTGTTGACACACTTCACGTTCACAGTTAGTAACTCCTGTGGGCAATTATTTCCCCTCCACGGAGGGGTCCCTAATAGGGGCACCTATCTCTGTATTACGTAGACAACCGGAAGCAAAACAACTTACTCTGCGGCTACCCACTCGGAGAGGGCAAAGGCTTATTAGAGAAGGCCTGCCAGTCGGTTGAATGAGACGCAAGCTAGAGCTCAGCATTTCTGTTTCATCTTGCGGCCATAACGCCACCCTGGCAGCGTCTGTAGTTTATAACGCACAACACCAGGCATCTCCCAAGGCTCCCCAATCCGCCCCGCATCGGGCGGGCTCTCACATTTACTCTGTCAAGGGCACGTCGCGTCTTCACTTTCTGGGAAGCGCCGCACCCCGCCAGCACACTTGTCTATATTCTACGCAGGGTACCAAGTCGTCCCCAGACCCAACAGGTAGGGTGCGGCTCTGCGCCGGCGCGTCCCCACACGTACCTTCGAGGGGTGTTGAGAAGCCGCTGCTGCTCGTCCCCTTCCTCCTCATCCTCCTCTGTCTCAGAGTCAGGGTGACAGTAGCAGAAGGCCCCGCTGCTTCGCTTGCGCTTGCGGCTGCTGGGGCAGTAACAGAAGCTGTGGCCCGTCGCGTCGCCTCCAGTCTCGGGCCGCCGGGCCGAGCCCCCCGGCGCAGAACCCTGCTCTTGCGGGGCTCGGGCTCGCCCCGGGTGGCGCAGCACTCGGCTGCTCAGCGAGCCCATGGGCCACGGCTCCCCAGGACTTCTGGGAGCGCACCTCAAGGACCCCAAAGGAAAGGGTCTCCCGCCATGGCCTGGCCGCCGCCGGCTTCCTCCAGCTCAGGTGCCTACACCTCCACCTTCTCACGCGCAGCCCCAACCGTTGCAGCGGACGCTACCGCCTCCATCCTCCGCCCCGCCCGCCGCGTCCTGTCGCGCGGCGCGCGAGGACCGCAGGACCTCCCCCCTCCCTTTCGCAACAAAGCGCGGGTCAGAGTGCGCATGCGCCAGCCTCCGGAAAAGGTGGAGGGGGGGGAAGCGAGCGTGCGCGACTGGTGCGGCCTGTGCCGCCCTAGGCGTTCAGGTGCTGGATGCTGGTTTCTTGTCAGCTGTAGGTCTGGGTGTTATACAGATCAACGCTTTGGGTTTAGTCTTTTTTAGCCATAGTTCGCACCCCCCTTTGTGTTGGCAAATTTTAGGATTCCAGGTCATTCGTTCTTTCTACAAAGGTTCCTTGAGCTCCAGATGCATTTAAGCAAGGGGCCGAACCACGATGCTATTTGTGCTCATCTTTCGAGAACTTAAACACATGCTGGGTTCAGTCGTGCAGGGTTGGGGTTTGAAAGAAGGACCTAGAAAGGGTAGCTATGCAGGACGCTGGGTTTCCTTTAAGATTAACCCTGCCCTTGTGTAGACATGAAAGGAACCGGTGGATTATGGCAGACATTCCCTGCCGTGCTTTCATTTCTTCCCAGCGCCAGTAGGATGCTTGAATAGGGTGTGGCACCAGAACTGTCTGGGCTTAAAGTGGTTTTTAGAAGGCCCTACCAAAATTTGCAGGTGTCTGCTCGGAATAACAACTCTTGCTATGGACTCTGGACAGGCAGATTTCACTCCTAGCCTTGTTACTTTTTAACTAAAGTATAATAAAATACTTAAAATAGAATAATGTGAACTAAGCAGTTTGGCTGGTTAAAAAATTAATAATATAAACACCTACAGACCGACCTTTAGCTTGGAATTTTATCAGACTTGTTTGATCCTCTCCCCCACCCAGCTTTATTGAGGTATAAATGATGATTCATTCTTTAGATAGAACAATGCAGATACATAGAAGTAGATAACACAGAAAGTGTACTGCTTTCCATTTCATTCTGTCTCTGGTGAGTTATGGTGAGTACTATCCTGAGAATATTATATATCATTATTTCCGTGAATGTCCTTAAATTCTAACCCACAAAGTGTTTTCTGTTGCACATTTAGTTATACAATTAAATAAAATCACACTGTACCTATCATTCTGCCTCTTTCTCCTCTCTCATACTACACTTTTGAGATTTATCCAATTGATCAATCTCTACTTAATTTTCACTGCTCATTGTATGAATGACCTATAATTTATCCACTCCCCTACAGAGGAAGTAAGGTTATTTCTACTTTAATGCTCTTATAGAACAATAATGAATGTCATGTACAAGAGGTTGACCAAGCAGATTCCCAGAGGTGGATTTGCTGGGAAGTTTTCAACTTTGTTAGCTATTGCCAAATTGCTCTCTCGGTTAATTGAATCAATGCACCAAATTATACTCCCGTCACCAGTGTATGTAGTTTGGGGACCCCAGTGGACTAATGTCTGATTCATGCCTGAGAAATCTGAACTGAGAGACACTAGCTGAGACAGCTTGCGGTGGAAGTGGGAGACAGGAAATGATGGGATCAGCTTGCATGCACAGAATTTGTCAGCACAAAGGATGCACATGTGTTACCCATGAAGCAGATATGGGCCATCTTGAGATAACCAGCATATAATCATCTTTGGTCCTTCCTGTCCAGGGAGGCCTGGGTAGAAGGGCAAATAACTTCAGCACAGAGAACCTCACAGTATCACTGGATTTCCAGAGGCTGTAAAAGGAGAGCTGCATCAGCGTTGCCAAAGGAACTGCAGGTGAGTGGTTCCCTGGTGATGGGGATGGCAAAGAAATGAACGTCCACCAAGGTTACTTGTAACTGATCCTCTACCACTACTCTCCCACCACAGCAATAACAGGTGAGAACTCTCCTGCTCCCTTTTACTCTCCTCTCCTTTGTTACAACCCAGACAAAGTAGGCTGAGGGGAGGAAGAAAGTGCGTGAGGAAGCCTAAGTGGAGAAAAAAGAGAAGCCCACTAGGTCCCTTCTCCAGAAGCCAGCTTCCTACTGGCCAGAGCTGAATGAAGGAGGAAGCCTCAACTATCAATCAACTTTGGAACTTTGACTAGATCTGTTAATTGCTTAATGACACTGTTTGATGACCTTAAGGGACTACACATTCAGACTTTCAAAAGCCTAAAAGTGAACTGAAAAAGTCATAATTCTGTCCTCTATCTAAATTTACACCTAAAGACAAGAGAACTAGGCCCACTGAATAAACGTAAATAGACAGTGGGAGAGAAAAATCAAGTTCCTTCAGAATTATGTCTCAAGAGTCATGCTTGTTCAATACAACAAACATTCCTCCGGGATGGCTATATCCTGCCTTCTAGAAAGCTTCTAATCAGAATGAAATTTGTTTTAAAATTTTAGCTAAGCTACATATCATTTGAAGGGAAAACTTCTACTAAAAAATTCACAATGCTTTCAAAGCCAAAAAAAGTTGATTTGGATATTTGGCTATCTTCTGGGAAAGTATTGAAGTGGCAATATTTTTTTCCTATAACTAACTAGAATGACTAAATATTCATGTAAGTAGCTTTCCCCATAGCTCCAGCATTTAAGATACACACGTAGTACTCAACTAAAGAAAAAAATAATCTGAGCTGAGCATGGTGGTTTACGCCTCTAATCCTAGCACTCTGGGAGGCTGAGACAGGCAGATTGCTTGAGCTCGGAACCAGCCTGAGTAAGTGCCAGACCCCGTCTCTACTAAAAGTAGAAAAATGAGCTAAGTGTTTGAGCTACTTGGGAAGCTTGAGGCATGAGGATCACTTGAGCCCAAGAGTTTGAGGTTGCTGTGATGATGATGCCTTGGCACTCAACCCCGAGGTGTGAGAGTGAAACTCTGTCTCAAAAATAAATAAATAAGTAAAAATTAAAAAACACAGGCTCAGCGCCCATAGCACAGTGGTTACAGCACCATCCACATACATGGAGGCTGGCAGGTTCAAACCTGGCCAGGGCCAGCTAAACAATAATGACAACCACAACAAAAAATAGGAAGAGACTCACTTAAACCCAAGAGTTCGAGTTTTCTGTGAGCTGTGACGCCACAGCACTTTACCAAGGGCAACATAGTGAGATCTGTCTCAAAAAATAAATAAATAAACAAACAAACACACTGGTTCGGTGCCTGTGGCTCAAGCGGCTAAGGTGACAGCCACATACACCTGAGCTGGAGGGTTCGAATCCAGCCCCAGCCCACCAAACAAAAATGACGGCTGCAACCAAAAAATAGCCGGGCCTTGTGGCAGGCGCTTGTAGTCCCAGCTACTTGGGAGGTGGAGGCAGGAGAATCACTTGAGCCCAGGAGTGGAAGTTGCTGTGAGCTGTGATACCACAGTACTCTACCCAGGGTGACAGCTTGAGGCTCTGTCTCAAAAAAAAAATTATAAAATAAAATAGAAATACAAAAACACTAATCTGTAATGGGATTAGGGAAGAAAAAAATAAACTAAAAAATCCTATTTTTTCCCCTACCAAAATTCAACAGATCATAAAATGAACAAAGGAGGCAAGTATTCTTATAACAAGAATATGAATGTCCTTTATACATTTATTACATTTCGTATAAATGTTCTACTTAAAACAGAAAATTCCAGAGAATAAATTCATATGTTATTTTATATCACTGAGTAGTCATCTTTGGCATATGTGAACATTAGTTTTATAGCAGTAGGCAAACATAAGACTAAATATGTTATTTTTTCTTATAATTCCTAATAGAAACTACGTAACACAAATCCTTCAAAAATAGCTCCTTTCAGAGTCCAGGATGAAAAAACTGGAAAGTCAATGAGAGAAAGAATATATCTCGTTTTTAAAGGCATTATTTTTTATTAAAATGATTTTTCCACATTCATACAAAGTAACTTTTTAATTAAATCCAAGTACAGTTTTAGAATGATTCTAGAGTTGAAATCCATAGTAGCAAACATAAATACTACAATAAGCAAAATCAAAAAAGCTTTCTGAAGTGTTTTTAGCTTAGAAAATTTTAAGTCAAACTAAATTCAGAGCATTAATTGTATCATTATCAGAATACCTAGTTTGAAGCTTGATTTTTTTTCCCATTCACTTTCAAGCTGAATTAAGACATTAACCATAATATTGTGAAATGTTCAGCATTTATGTTTCATAATTACACATACATGATTCATATAACCATACTTAGAATTTATTTTGTTCAGCTGAATTGGTGATTTTGGTATAGTTCAACTGGAGAAGTGATCTCACCATAAGACATGATAAAGTCTCCCACATCAAACTTAGCAGAAATTAACTAAAACTATAGACAACTAGAGACAAAACCTAAAAAGAAAAGATGCTTTCATGTCTGTAACCTATAACTGTGAAACATATAAGCTGGACACTCACAATTTCAAATGAAGAAATTACCAGCTATTCTAAAAATAGGATTAGGAAGGAAAATGATTTTAAAAGTCTTCCATTTTAAACATTTTTCACCAAAAAGAAAATATGAAATAATTTAATATATTCAATTTCTGAGAAACACAAATGAGGAAGTAATCTGTTAAAAAACATGAAGTACATCTTTATTTCTAATTTTAAATCTCCATTTAGGTCTTATAAGCTTTGAAATGCAAGTATGACTTTAAAGCATAATGACTAATTATAGATGAATAATAATATAGTATATATCCTAGGAGGCAACTGTAGGCGTTTTAATTGGAAATAAGCATTTTGAGATAATGCTAATAACAGTGTAGAAAAATAGTTAAAAAAAATTGAAAGTGTTGTGAATCCTCCTATTCTTCTGAGATTTTATTTTAATCATCTCCTCCGCAGAGAACCAGCAGTACCTTCCTGTAGTCTCCGGATGTGTCCCCCTGGGGAGAGGAAAGCAAAGTTTCAGTCACATAAAAGTGAGTTTTAAAGTGTTCACAGTTCCAAGTCATCTGAGTCAAGTTTTTCTAGATTTGTCTAAACTCTTTAATTTTTTTTGTAATTTTTTATTACACAAGTAATATTTGTTTTGTAGAAAATAAAGACAAAAAAGAACATTAAAAAATCACCCATTATTCCACCAAATAGAGTTTATTAGTATTAACATTTTGGTACACATATCCTTCCAGTCTTTTTTCTAT